TCGAGGCACAATAGATCATGATTTTCCACTTCATGTTTCTATGGATGTTAATGAAATAAATCTTAACCACGTTTCTTATGATTAGAGTGCATTAATAAACTTAAAGAATGATAAAATCCTAAAGTGATTTGTTCTTAACACTCGGTTTAATGCTATAGTTTTAAAGAAAGAGGTCAAGAGTTTTTAAGCTCCCTCACTCTCTTACTTTAATTCGAGAATCTCAAAAGTAAAGTTGCACATTGTTGATGCTAACACATAATATTGAGAACTGTTAGAGGCACCCTTAGCTACGCAAGAATGAGATGCTAACACATAATATCGAGAACTCTTAGAGGTACCCTTCGCTGCACAATAATGAGATAGAACTATCAAAACAACATTAATGGATGAAAAACATATAAGATGAGTTCAAGTGTAACATCGTTGGCGATACACAACCTTTTTAGTAGATTAGGCATGTATTTATGAGGATGTCAAATGCTACATTTAACCTAATTAGAAAGTCACCTCAGCTAGCGAGAAGACTACAACATTGAATCCTACGCCAATTTGCTTCGCTCCCAAACATGGAGAAAGGAGAAAATGACAAAATCAAGGTATGGGGAAGGCTTAATCATAATGCTTCAATCCCTCCATATTCATCACTTTGGGAGATACCTAGAGGAACTTACATTGGGATTGACTCTAATGAAGATGAGGTTATACAAAATCGCCACCAACAATGTGACTAGAGAGAAAGCATTCTCAAGAATAACTCTAATAAAGAGGAACTCGACTTCACTTGCAAACTTCAAACCCCATACAAAGAAGGGTATTAAATCAGTGATTTTGAAGAAGATACCAAAGATGAAGTCGTCCTCCATACAAAGAACCTTTTAGCGATAAGCCATAAGGATATATGAGAATGAAATAAATCTCATATTGATGCTAAGTTTTGTTTTAATAAAACAGGTCTCACATAAACAATGTTGGCCTTGAGTATTTATCAATAGTTAACTCCTATTATGGAGAATAGAGTGATATAGTTGGTAATGTTTTATGAGAAACCATATAAAAATCATGATTAATGTGGAATCTTGATGTTTTGCATTGATCACTCTTGCGAAGAAAGAAGTAAAACCCTTTAAGGAGGAATTTGATCACAAATAAGCTAAATCAGTAATTCCTACTAGCTTGTTATAATTCATTATTATTTACAATGCGGATGGATAGTAAATAGATAGTTGGAAAAAGCTCAAGTCTATGAGAAGTTATGGAATATGAAATTCCCTCAACTCAATCATGCTCTCCACTACATCAAGTTAAAGTCAACTCACTCTGGCATAATCCACATGATGATAGGAAAATTCATTCTAGTTGACACCTCTAAAAGGATGAGTTAGAAATTAAGGTCCCTCAAGGCATGTGAGTCCCTCCTAGAGAATTTGAGGATGGAGGGGATGCCATCAATAAAAGAGAGCATCGCCAACATTAGTGCATTTTCATGCGCTCTCCAACATCTCGATGAAAGTCATCTTGGCGATAGAGTATTTGAATTGTTAGGCATAAAGACCCGTGGTCAAGGACAGTTCAGCAAAGATTGCATCAATAGTTGTAACTACCTAAGTCATCTAGGTAAAATGAACAATATAACCCTCTACGAACTCCCTTTCTCCTAGTTATAGATTGTGTCTCACTAGTCTAAGACTAGACATGCAAGCATGGTTATAGCGAACAACACTATTAGTGTCGCCATAGTTGTTACTCGTAATAGGATAAGAACCTAAAGAATAAAATTATAAGGTGGAGTTAACAGAGTTGTAGAACTAGCAATGTAATTGGAGTTTGGGAAGCATAACGAAAAGCCAACTAGATGAGAAGGTTTGTTTTTTCTAAAAAGCTCAAAGAACTACAACATCATGAACAATATTTTTTTATTCACGGGTTTGGAAGAGTTTTCACCTCTATTATCATAAGGATGCATAGAAGATGAAGCTAGCAATGGTAGGTGTCTACCGAGAGTAAGAAGCTCATCCACTAAGCTTTTAGCCAGGGGACAAAGAATATACCAAAAGTGGACAAAGAATATACCAAAAGGATGAAATCCAAGCTCTACTTAATTCATTATGAAAAAGTAGATGAGGGTTGAGTGTTCAAGCTAGTTTACTTAGTTGCAAGGGGGGCTAACTGTCAAAATTTCTTCAAGAATATGGCAGTAGGTCTAACGCAAGCCACTATATCGAAAAGGGGTCCACGTTAACACTCCTGAGAGAGACAATGGTCGAGTAAGTTCTCGGAATACTCCATGAGTCATGTCCATAAAACCCTCACCCTACAAGATTAGCAAATCAACACAATCAAATGTCAATCAACTCTTAAGTCAATTAGATCAAATATCAATCAACTCCAAGCAGAAAGATCTCCCCCTTTCTCTATTTATATATGTTATAACCCAAATGTAGCACATAAGAATGAATTACAAAAGAATTAAATTATCATTAGATTTCTATTTTAAAGTTAATATTTATGCTAAATTACTATTTTGATTTTGATATTTATCCAAGAATTTGAATTGTTCCAATTGTTGTCCACCACCACCTCATAAAATCATGACATCATTTTCTACTCCACTTTCTCCTTCTTGTTGTAACCTCACCTCCATCATTTTAGTTTGAATTTAACAATATAAATTTGAATGTTGTGGTTTGTTTGCTATTTGCGGCATCCATGAATGTATAAATAGAAGATGAAATGAATGATAAAGGTAGACTTATAGTTTTCGTGTTCCGTCCGTCTTGGACAAATCTCCTTCAACTTGGAGATGATTATTGGCCTTACTTTTATAATAAGGTTAAAAAGGCTTGATGTAGTTTTGATAAACTTAACCTATTATTACCTCTATCACTCAAATTCTATGAATATAGACTTTCTTAGATTCTGTTAGAATGCACCTTATAAGATTTACCTTGGTCAAAACTAGAGTTCTCCTATTCTTTGATCTAGTAGTCAACCAAGTAATTACTAACCTATCAATTATCATTTTGTTGTCTATAGGAAACTTCATCCTATAACCCCTTTAGCTCATTATGACCTACTTTATTAGCCTAGTACCCATATACACCTCATTAGGTGATCCGACACCATAGGGTTAATAGGATTCAAACAATCTATTCAAGTCTATTACCCATTGAAGTTTATTGAACATGCCCTATGTCTTTGATGACTTCAACCATCATATTATTGGACAAAATCCCAAAGCAACCTCTTTAAACTTCTTTAGCATAAATATCAAATATTAAGTTATCCCATGGTAATAATTCATTGGTCTTATAGTGAATTAGATAGATCCTAATGTTAGACCGATCCACTGAACCGGTCCAGGCGGGACTGGTTCATGGGCCAAAATCGCGAAACAGGCGGAGATCT